ATTTGCTTCTTTGCTTATTTGCATTTGTAATAATTACCTTATTTACTTATTGTCCGAAATATTCTTCAACTTTATTTATTTATTACTTATTTCTTTACGCATTTATTTATGTGCATGTTATAATATTTTTGTCTGGTTTATTCTTCCTTTGTATTTTTTTACCCTCTTTATATATTCCATGCTGTATATTTCGGCCTGTCATTTTTACATTTCTGTCTGAATTTCTGCCTTTTTATGCAAAGGAGGAATGATGTGTCTTAAGGGTCAACTTCTCGCTATTGGTTGGTTAGCAGCCAAAGGTCACCGTCAAAACAAACATGGCTACTTACGATGAAGTGGTCAGTGAGCTGAGACATTTAGGCTGCTGACTGGACGGGACCGGGCATTCGAACCAAGCCATCAGCTCCGGGGCTGGAACACCGGCAGAGGGGGGAGGGAGCCAGCAGGGGAGGAAGTGACCAAACCTGACCCGGTAGCCGTGGCCCCGTATGGCAAGCCAAGAATGTCACTATTTTCATCTAATTATGACGTTAAGATTGAAATTTACCTGCTAAAAGCACCTGTTTTTCCGAAATGTTGCCGCTTTTTTCGCCGTCTTTTACCAACAAGCACCGCTTTTTACGTCCGTCATGATGGTTCATGGCTGTAGAAAGCATTATGAGCTTGGAAAAAGGTTAGTCATATGCAGGAAACATTCAAGAACAAGTCAGACAGACACATTTTCTGGAACACAAGTGGCCCCTTTATTGTCATTCTATTAGGACAATGTAAACCGTTTTTACATGAAAGAATGCATGGCGATGGGAAAAAAACAACAGTGAAGTAGTGAAGTGCCTGTAGTGGATATATTCCTAGAATTAAGGCTTTGTGAAATGACAATGCAGTGAACTTTGGCAATGCTGTCACACAGAGCTCTGTGCAGTTTTCCACAAAGCTGATCTGTGCTGAACTTTCTTGGTCTGGCTGTCTTGACCAGCGATTGGATGCAACCACTTCAAATGCATTGGCTGTCGGAAAAGAAGAAGGGACATTGTTATCATATTAGGAAAATGTGCGTATTCGACTTGCGTTGTCTTGGTCAGAACGCGCGCCAAGATTGCATGCTTTGACCTGTCGCTACGCGGGTAAAGAATGGGCGTAGTGACAGGTCAAAATGCGCGTTTTGCGGTACCATCATTACGGACGTAGAAGACAGTGAAAAAAGCTGCGAAATTTCAGAAAAACGGGTGCTTTTAGCGGGTGAATTTTAATGTTAACCTGATAATTTGATGCGAATAGTGGCATTCTTGGCTTGCCATAGCCCGTGGCTGGCTCCGGACCTAGAACAGCCCTGGTTCGAATGCCCAGTTCAGTCCAGTCAGGGGCCGAGCAGCCCCTGACTGGACCGGACCAGGTTGGTGCTTAAAAACATGTTTGCATTCCTCAGCGAGCCAATTTACAACAACCAAAGTATTACAATAGCAGAGAAACTTATGAAAAACAAATCCCTTTAAAACGTACCATTCCTACTAAATAAACTATACCTGTCTAATTTTTATTGAAATGGTTGTAATTTATGTGATTTGCTTTTAGAAGAACCCAATGTTACATGTTTGAATCTGGTTCTGTGTGGAAGGAGAGAACCAGTGAAGACCTCAGCAGCCAGGGCCATTCTAGGTCAGACAGATCTTCCTTCAGCCTCCAACTCTTCAGGGTGTGTCAGAAACCAGGGAGAGGTGTGTGGACGTTGGGTTTCTGTGGTGGAGCTGCCTGCCTTGTATGGAAAAGCTCAGCAGGAAGTGATGGAGGAATCATTCAGGTGTATCTCCCTCTGTGAACCTGAGGGTGTCCACGCCTTCATCCTGGTCCTACCTGTGGGTCCCCTCACTGATGAAGACAAGGGAGAGTTACAGACCATCCAGGACACTTTCAGCTCTAGAGTCAATGACTTCACCATGATCCTGTTCACTGTAGAGTCAGATCCTACAGCTGGAGATGTTAACTTCATAGAGACTGATAGAAACATCCAGGAGCTCCTTCAGAGCTGTGGAGGAAGATATGTTGTTCTCAACATCGAGGACAGACAGCAGATCCCAGAACTGATGGAGATGGTAGAAACTATAAGTAATAAAGGGTCCCGTTTCTTTACGAATTACATGTTCACTAGTGTCTTGATTGAGAAAACCTTAGATGAATTCCAGGATTTGAAACAGAAGTGTTTAATGCAAGGTGAAGATAATCTACAGTCAATAGAAAAACTCAGGAAAGAGATAGAAGATATGAAGAAGAGGGAAGAAGAAGAGAAGAAAAAACACAGAGATGAAATCGAAGCACTTCAAGCTCAACTTGAACAGGAAAGAAAGCAGAAAGTTCAGCTTGTGAATGAAACAGATGAATCCATGGAGCAGCATTGTGAGAAAATAGAGAAAGAAGCCGAGAAAGAGGCGAGAACATTTCAAAAAGCATTGCAGCATCAAAAAGGTGATGCTTTAGAAGAACAAGCTGACGTTGAACAATGCCAAAGAGAGGCATCTGAGAAGCAGATGAAAGAAAATGACATCACAGAACAAATGAAGCAGAAGCAACAACTCCAGTCCTCCCCCTCTCTACCAGAAGATGTTTCTAAGAATCCAGTCTGTCCTACCACTGCAACCTCAGGTCAAATGGAAAATGGGACACAGACCAGCGACACAGATAATACAGGTGAACATCAACATTATCCTGTTCTCTCTATCTGCTTTCTACTTTTAATTTGGGTCAAGGTAGTGGTAAGAGAAATTTAGATAAAAACAAAACAAGTGTTGCGGTCTTAGAAATAAAGATCTTCTGAAGGGGGATATAAATACTCTTTCATGAATATAAATAAATAAATAAACAATACAAATTGTTATGAGGTAAACACTATATAGAAGCATTGAAAAAGGTATCAGACAACCCTGGTTATTTCTTATTCTAAAGGTATATAACCCCAAGAATAAAAAAAAATAAAATACAAAAAAGTTAAATGAGTAATTTTAATGATAGTAGGCATAAAATGATATAAAGATCTGTTTAAAGAAATTGGACAAGGATTAGAAAATATTAGTTAAATATGTTGGGGTTTTTTTCTTTTTCTTTTTTTAATCTTTATAAATGTAAACTTTACTTAACCAGAAAAGAAATATGTCTAAAAAAGAAAAAAAGTGAGTCCAATGTTTTCAACCAATGGGTTTATAATAGTGGGCGGCTCTATTTGAAAATGTCCTTGAAAATTTAGCTGAATTAATAATTGTTGCACTGAATTGTCAACAACGACATTATAAATATCATTACAACTGTTTTAGCTAATTGACTCATTTTAAACATCAAAAAAATGGATTTCATAAACTTTTATTTTTAATAATAAAGTATGTTTTCTTTAAAGTTCACCAAAGCTGCTTTATTACCAATCCTCTATGTGATTAATTAATCAATTATAAATTACTAATTTTTTTAGAAAATGTTATTTAAACTAAGTATTTTGCCTGTGTAAGACTAAAAAAGTATAGAAAGTTGAATTTGAGAAGTGAAGGTGTGTAAGAGTTTGCACCTGATGGAATTAATGTGTCTCACAGTCAATTTGTGAGAAAATTGAGAGCCCTGGTGTTTATAAAACTGTCAATTAATGACAGTTGGCTGCTGCATATGAAGTCAGAACTCTGATCTCGAAAAGAACAGTTATTACC